GGGCATATTTTTCTACTTGCATTTTTTACGCACTTTGGAACTGCTAGGTTAGTAGAAGCTGGGACAAGTAATGGGAGCTCACTCCATTACATGGCACTGGGGATTCAAACCGCTGAACGGCCAACCTTTTGATCAACAAGCTCAGCACCTTAGCCACTGAGCAACCGTGTCCCCTCTAAAAAGGTTAGGATGCTCAATATTTAAGAACAGTTCTGAGTTACATGGAAAGAAAGAAAGTAATGAATAACTATAATCATGACAGATTGCTTGCCTCCCTGAAATGAACCTTGATAGTCTTGTGTGAATGATGTGCAGGTAGTCCTCAATTTACAACCATTTGCTTAGTGACCTCTCAGAATTGCAACAATACAGAAAAAAGCAGCTTACAACCAACCCTCATACTTAGAACTGTATCCCCACGAACATGGGAACGAAATTTGGGTGCTTAGCTACTGGCATGTATTTATGATAGTTGCAATGTCCTGAGTGTCATATCATCATCATCTGCAACTTTCCCAGCCAACTTCCAACAAGCAAAGTGAATGGGGAAGCCATATTAGCTTAATAATCACATAACAACTGCAGTGATTTGCTTAACAATGGTAGCAAGGTAGATTTAATAGTTGTTAGCTAATGGAAGGTTTTAAGTGAAGGCATCTGTAAGTTGATACAATGGGAATGAGGCAGCAGGATTATTGCCATTTTATGAAGCTGGGTAAAAAGCTGTCTATATAAGGGAAGCCATTAGAGGGCATCTCTCTCCTCCTCATGTTCTCTCTCGTCATGTATCTCATTGCTCTCTTTGTGTCAGTAGCTGTATGATAAGGTATTTACTATGTATAAGTCTGTATATATTTAGCTGTAGATAAAACCATTGTTAATCATCTAAAGACTCTGTGTGCTGTGTGCTGTGTTTTGCTCCTGGGTTTATCTCATAAATGCTGCCTAAACTCTGACAACCCCATTATGCGGCACTAGGGATTCAAACTACTGAATTGCCGACTTTTCAATCGACAAGCTCAGTGTCTTAGCCACTGAGCCACCATTCATATAATTCAGGCCAAATCAAACTAGAGGTTGTGGTGGAAATTGAATTCAGAGCAAAGAGATATTTGGGACACAGCAGAAAATTAAAGACTCTAAGAGACAGAGTAGCAGAACAACTAAAGCTCAAAGAGCAAGACAGAGACAGATCAAGGATTCAGGAATCGATGTAATCTGAAGCAGATGAGAAACTAAGAGGAAGTTCTTCCAGTGCTAAGCATTGGAAGAACGCTTTGAGTAAAGCCTTAAGTGGACACATTCTCAGGGCCCACCAGGGCATAGTGACAGCCTATTAGAACAAATTACATGATCTGACACTGCAAGGGCACACAGTACTTATGAGCATTACCATTTGTAGTACAAGCTTTTGCTTCATAAATGTACTGCCTCCTTTTTCTTTCTTGCTCTCTCCCAAAACGATGTTCTTGTGGGCTAGTCAGTCTACCATCTCATTTAATGTCTGAGGGGAACTGGGGTTGGAGTGAGGAGCTTAGATGTGATTAAGCTTGACTTCTCTGCATCAATTGGTAACAAAAGCCTCCCTCTGTCTGCCTTGCAAGAAAACTCTCCCTGTTCCTTTTCTAAAGGGAGTCCTACACCCAAGGAGTATTCTTCTTGAGTACTTCTGTGAGCCATATATCCCATTTACTGTTGGCCCCTTGAACTAGCCCGCTATTCTCAGAATGGGTAACACATCCCACAGTTAATACTGAAATAGGATTCAATTGACCCTCCACTGATTTTTCTTTCACCCGGAGCAAATCCTGCTTCCCTTACCTAACATAAAATGGCTCAGGGGACAAAAGGTTGATTAGTTAGAACACATAAATTCTTTCACATGTGAAAAATGGAAAACATAAATAAATACTGAATGGAAATACAGTCTCCAGCTCAAAGAAGATGAGCTCGAATATTATCTTTTTTTAAGAAAAATATTGTTTCTTTTTAAAAAAAAAAAATCAAACAAAAATATTCAGAGTTTTTTCAGATGAGCAGTTCTAATCTTAACAGTTAAAATGCTTGAGGGAAAAACATTTCCTAACTCTAAGGTTTCCATGAAAGATAAATGGTGGCAACGTTTCAGCACAAGAACCATTGTCTCAGCTTTCTTACATTTTGCAAATGTATATTTGCAATAATGCATTTTGCATTATTGAAATATACATTTATATATTACTGAAATAATTAGTGAAGGCAATATCAAAGCCAAGTACAAAACATTATAAAGCTAAATCTCCTTGTAGCAAGATGCTTAGGTTTGCTTTACATGAAATGTTTAGGTTTGTCTTACACCAAGACTGAAATCAAACTCCTGATATACTGTAAATCTTCATTATGTGTTTCTGCCAATATTATGTTGACTTTTTTAAAAAAAGAACCATATTAATTAAAAATCCACAAGGAGTTACAAAACAAGGTTAATAGTTCAGGAGCCTAACTTTTTTATACAGTGTATTTCCTGACAATGTAGAAAAATTGCAGTCACAGAAGGAATTATTTCACTCTGTTTTGTGTGTTCTCTTTTCTTTGTGATATAGGATACAAACAAATTCTGTTTGTACAAATGTTGATGCATGGAAAACTGAACCATGGTTTCTGGGTTCACAGAATACATGCTGTATTATAAACCAATCATAGTCTGGGCCATCCAACAAATTAGCCTAAAATGTGGCTCACTAGTTTATTATACTGTATTTTCCATAAATATATTCCATAAGTGTTACAGCGAATGTTTGAAGAATTTCTCTTGAAGTTTCCAAGATAATTATGCAGGTCAACATATCCCCTGAGAGGGTCATTTTATTATATAAATTTTGATTTGCCACAGCTTTCAGAAAAAAACATAGATGTGGATGGAAGTCCTCACTAAAATAACAAATATTGGTATAAGTCAAGATTTAAACATTGTGGCCATTCAGATATTTCTGAAGTATAGGTACTAAAATTGCTTATGTCCTGGAATTCCTAAAAAATGTGCACAAATTCAAAGTAATATATAGGCATAAAAGGAAAAACCGATATGAATCTACCTGTAATTTGCTTTTTATGCTATGTTCATGTCCATTGCTGCATGTTCTACCATGTTTTGTTTAGCTTCTTAAACCTGCAGTTTAATGGATATTACTACCGTGTTTCCCTGAAAATACAATCTCTTCAAAAAGTAAGCCCTAGCCCGATTTGGAGGGGTAAGATCTAATATAAGCCGTACCCCAAAAATAAGCCCTATTGAAGTGGGTGGGCATGGCCAGCACAGGAGGCAGCCTAGGACCCAGTGGGAGTGGGAGGCAGCCTGTTGGGGTGCAAGGTGTGGAAGTGGGGCATGGAGTATCTCAGGGATGCGGGAGGCCTTGGGTTGCAAAGGATGGACTTTATGATACTTGCAATATAGTTTTTATAGCACTGGCTAACTAACATGAGTTTTCTTGTATTTTAAATTTACTTTTTCAAATGTATTGCGAATAATTTGCTATAAACCTTAACCTTTAAAAAAAGCCTCTCTTTTGGAAACCAGGATTCCCAGGAGAGCATTCAATACAGTTTCATTTTCAGCTGTTCTCAAACCTCCATGAATAAAGCAAATATTCATGCCCAATCTTAGGAAGCACTAAGAATGGATCTTACTCATACCCATTCTAATGTTTTTTCTTTGCAAATTCTTGTGATGTAACACTTAGGTTAGTTTCTAAATACTTAAAAAGGCAATTCTCATTTGCCTCCCCTAATATCCAAGGGATATATAGTCCAAGGTTTCTGGACAGTACCAGATTGCCCATCCCTATCCAGGAGTTTCACTTTCCTTTTTTGATTTAACTAAATATTTAGTATTTGTTTTCCAATTGATAGGATCCTATGAGTCCTAAGCTTTTAAATATATTATAAGTGATGGGGAAATTTATGATTCTTTTCATGAAAGCAGATGGGTGAGCCAAATTCACCACATGGGAGACATCCTTCTTCCCCGTGTGATTTCCACCATTTAAATTGCCTGTAGAAGCTACAGCCTACATTTCCTGTTGCAACAAAAGCGTACCTGTGCCATATAGTATTCAACTTCACTATTTCTTGATTGGTTTAACTTATATACCCATCTCACCTACAGGCAACTGTAGGTGGCTTACAATCAATATAAACAAAACATTGACATATTAAAACAATAAATATCAATCCTAAAATGTTTAAAAATGTAAATTCTAATAAGTAGAGCATAAATATATTTGACCGTAAATGTTCCCTGTGAAAAGTCTTTCAATCCATAAAACTTCTTTTCTCTTTCATACAACAATAGACACAAAGAATTCAAAACAATTTCTAGAGGTAAAGTTATGGATGCAGTGTGTGGGAAACAGTCTCACTTTGTTCCCAAATGCCAAGCTGTAAAGGTAGCTCAACAAGTTGCTTTCTCACAGTTTAGGCAATACCTTGTTTGTGAAGTCATATGAGATCACAACTGTGTTAATAAAATTTGCAAGCATAATGAGAAGCTTCATATAAAAAGGAAACTCAACTATTGATATTCCCAGTTTTTTTTTCCTCCAAAGTTTTATCAGAACAGAGGTCTTCTTAGTATTCTACAATTTATCTGCATTTAAGATAAGGGTTGGCAACCAGAGTTTTAGAAACATCCATCAAGGTGTCTGCACCCAATTTGGATGCCAAAAATAAATGCTGAAAGCAAAAATGTAATATATATATAAACCTGATGTGCTGCAAAGCAGAATGCCTATCTCCGTCATCATTATTTCTATGACCTACAGGAGCAGAATACCAGGTGGATGATGACATCTAAATGCTTTATCCAGAAGTATGATTCCTGATGTCCTGCCCCAAGAAGGCAAAGGAGAAGACGTTCTGAGCAAAGGATAGATTTGGATCTCTGCTGTTGTTAAACTTGATTTTAAATTGTCTAAGAGACAATTGTGACTAGCCAAGTCATCCTTTCAGAGGATTTTCCTTACCAGGATCCTCAGCATGTTCAACAAGGATGAACGTCCCAATGTGATGCCTTCACTTGAAAAGCTGGGCATACACTCAGAGATAAACCCTGTTGAGTGATACTATATATCACAGTCATATGACATCATAGAAAATGATTCATGACATTTTGCATTATGTCATAATCTATTATCTAGCTGTGGACAAATGCTAAGTGTGCACCCTCATACAGTATATCTCAGAGCAACTGTGTAGCTGTGAATATAAAGGGTTGTAAGCTAAAAAAACAGAGAGAGAGAGAAAGAGAGATCCTGAGAGGTCTCAGATGTATCATATAAAGTCTGTTGAATAAAATAAAATAATAAATAATAAAAGGGAGATGAAACGTTCAGGGAAGGCTTTGAATCTTCCAATGATAACTGAGAGAGCGGAGAGAGAGAGAGAGAGAGAGAGAGAGAGAGAGAGAGCAGAACAAAACCAATGGAAGAGAATGGAAGGAGGCTTAACTGGCTTCCTATCCTTTTATTGAGGAACCAGGATTAAGAACAAAGGGAGAGAAGGTGATAAATTGAGGTAAAGCTCAGTGATCTACCTGATCCCTCTAAGCTTTAACAAAGATGTCATGGGGTGATTCATGTCATAGATAAACATGTCACACACGTTGGGGAAAAGACCAAGTTGCTCCTTTCACACCATATGCTAAATTTGACAATACTTTTGGGGAGTGGGGGCGAGTGTATTGCTGCACATCTGGCACTGACATCATCTGCTTTGGTGCTCATTTATGAATTGGCTTTTTGCATTTGAGGTTTAGTAGCTCAGATCTGCCGTTCTACCTCCCTGTCCATGCTCCTATGATTAGAATTGTGTCTTGTGTGTACAAGGTACACAAGACCACAATTGATCAATTGATCACAATTGAGAGTAGAATTTCCATTGCTAAGCAAAGCAGCTGTTAACTGAATTCCAGGAAGCAACATGTTCCATTAACTGTTCTCACTGTCAGAAAACTCCTTAATTCCAGGTTGGATCTCTCTTTAATGAGCTTCCATCCATTGCTTCTTGTCCTACCCTCTAGTGCTTTGGAGAATAGGCTGTCCACCTATTACCTGTGACAACCAGAGCCATGAGTCCAGAAGAATAACTGCACACTGCATCTTTTTGGGATAGTGCCACCCATTCCAGCACCAAAAATGCCAAATTCACAGACCCAGAAGGCCTCAAACCCTAACTTAGTCATTCCATGGTTGAAGAAGAATCTGTGTTGCCCACCCAACCTTCTGAAGCTTCCAGACACTGAGATAGCATTGATTAGTTCATCAGTGGAGATGTACAGCCAGATATCATCAGCATATGATGATGGATGACCTGAACCAGCAGCTTCACATAGAAATTAAACATAAACAGAGAGAATACAGAACCTTTCAACACCCCACATAATTGGGCCAAGGGAAATACCTATTGCTCTCAATCAACATCAACTGTAACCAGCTCAGAGGAAGCAACGGAACTAGTACAATACAATGCCACTCACTCCCAACATTTGCAAGTCAGTCCAGAAGGATACCATGGTTGATGGCATTGAAAGCCTATGAGACATCAAGTAGAGCACAAATAGATGCATCCATTCTGTTCCCATCATAGGCCATTCAAAAGTGTGACCAATTCTGTTTCTATCCCATGGCCAGGCCTGAAACCCAAAAGGAAGCAAGATAATCTGTTTCATCCAAGGTGCTCTGACACTGTTGTGTGACCACCTTCTCAATAATCCTCCCTAAAAAGGAAGATTGGATACTGGATGAAATTTGTTCAGTATGGGGGGATCTAGCAGTGGCTTCTTGAGGAGGTATGGTAGAAACCCAACACCTTTTTAAGATGCAGATGAATAACCCTTTTCTCAAGAAAGAATTTACCATTACCAGAATCTAACCACCCATCACCTCCTGAGCAGCTTTAGTAGGATGTAATATGCAAGTGACCAAGCTTGCAGACATAAGGACCCTGTTTACTTCCTCAGATCCAATAGGCTCAAATTTTTCCTAGAGAACAACCCAAGGCATCTCTACAGAAACTGTACCAATGTTGACATTTAACTGAGAGGAATCCAAAAGATTTTGCCTGACAGATCCTCTGCAAATTCCTCCATGTAGCCTCAAAGGTAGACCTCAGAATTTCCTCTACACAACTGTGTTGCCTGTCAGCTCTCAAGGAAAACAATAAGAGTGGGGAAGTACTGATACTTTGCTTCCTTTACTGCCATAAGGTAGTTTTTAATAGCTTAATAGCTCTGACTTCAGTTGAATTTATTCCTTGTTGTCCTACAGTTCCACTCTAGATGTCTCTTAATCTGTTTCTTCTCCTTCGGTGCTTTCATAACCCATGAAAAATGGTGGGATCAATGGGAGGAGAGATGTTACATGAGCATGATCCAATTCAAAGGTTCAACCACCCTCTCATTCCAAGTGCAGCAGGCCATCAAGAACAACCCCCAGCATCCTTTGGAATTCTTCAGGGTCCATCAGTTGTTGGGGGCTAATGAAATGTTAATAAAAATGTCATAAAGGACACTTTGTCTAAATTGATTGAATTTAAACTCCGTTGACACTGAGTGTCATTTATTTCATTTGTAATTAAGTACAGCTAATTTAATCCTTGAATCCAACCTAACAAATATTTGCAGTTGGCCTAGCTTTGGATGGGTTATTTCCAAAGCAGTTGAAAGGCAAGCATGCTTGGCACTAAATTTTGCTCATCAAATTGCATGTTCTGATTCATAAGGTTACTGTGTTTGTTAATCTCCTTCACAGTATTATTTCCAATCCCTTGGCTAGCAATCTGAAATCCTATCAAGCTTGTGCAGCTGTTGGCATTCCCATCTTAGAATTGTTTTGCCAAAGGAAAAGAAATGGCTCACTTAAAACACCATGGGAAATATTGATCAATAAACCTCACTGAGGAAGTTGGATGTTGCTATCCATCACTAACATTGTTCAGCTCCTTTTTTTATTCAGAAAAGGAATGTGAAAGATAATTTACAAAGTGGAGGACATTCTCATTAGTAAGTTGATGTCTCAGCACTATCCTGAAACTAATCAATATTGGTGTCTATAATTTCCTGAAGTTCTTTATGAGCTTTTAAAGGTTTTAAATGGTGTAATATTGCCAGAGTTGTGTTTCTTTCCCTTTGTCTATCAAAATAAGTCCAATGAGAAAAATAAATAAAATTCACTCAACTGTTGGGTGAAATATCTTTTATAATATGAGCAATTTCACCCTTTGTAAAGGCTATGATATACAACTGATTCTTTCCAGTAAACAATCTAAAATGAGTTTGTAATTATGATTTTAATGAAAGGACAAGCTTACACAACATAAGCAGCTGAAGAACAAAATTAAAGAAAAGCCATTGATAATCAGGGATATTAAAGACAGGCTATTTTAATGTTTCTATTTACAGTATATATGGTATATCGTTAATATATGAATAGAGTGGCAACAATTACATCCAATGTTCTTCAGTTACTTTTGAGCACTTGCAAATTATGTATAGCAATGACTACACAACATTTATCTCTAACACTAATGGTACCTGAGATTCAACATCTCTCCTGTCTTCCTTCAGAACCATCTGAAGTATCACCACCACATCAGTCAAACCAGTTTTAACTGTTTTCTCAAATACATGACTTTAACTTGGCAATCACAAAGGCTTATTAACATTTCATTTGTGCTATTAGATTTACTGTATACACTGGCTTTCATTCAGGAACACAAGGTGGCATAAATGCATGTCCTTCTTCCAGATCCTCAACAAATTTGTTGACAGAACCTCAACAAATCTGTCAGAAAGTTGGAATGAAAGAGAGTGACTGTCTCAAGGTTATCCATTGATGTTATTATTCACATTAAAATTAGCCTGAATAAAATGTATCTGTTAGTGGAACCAATGTAGATGATCATTATTATCACCTCATTCATACAAGACAGTACGGATCTCATATCAAAAGGATAGTATCCAAGAAATACACCAGTTGTCAGGTTCCAGTGAATCATGGCAAAAAATACCAAAGCACACAGTCCTCGTTTACAATGGCTTTATCCTACTCACAAAAACTCCAGCACAAGCTGACAATTAACAAGTGAAATAAAGTCAGGGCTACCCATCCAGTGCTCACCTCCACCCTTTAAGTGCTTCCCCAGCCCCACCCAGCCTCATGCACACCCCACCCCTCACGCAGAAACCAACATGCTTCAAACGCCAAGGCATGCCCAGTGCGCATTCTCCCGCCCTGCTTCTCAGTTGTTTTGGCTGTGAAGTCAGTGGCAGCAACTGAGCATGCCCAGCATGCAGGCATCCGCCCCACTTCTCAGCTGTTTTGTCAGAGGCAACCAGGCCTGTCCAGGTCTGGTCTAGTCTCACCCCTCCAGCTGGTTGCAGTGTGTGGATCTGTTATGCCAGCAGGTATGGCGTTTGGTGGGAGTGGCGCAGCCGCATGTCTCTCCATCCCCCGCCAGAATGGCAGCCCCAGGCCGCCAGGTGCACCAGGGCTGACACTAGTACTGTAATTTCTGCAAACTGTAGTTTCTGCAAGCAGAATATACTATTTACACCATCACTTTGATCAGCTTTTATTCCATGCACCTTCTACTCTCCATCTTCCCTCTTGCCTTGACATGACTCCCTACAAGTTGGCAGAATTTTTCTTTATTGCTTGACCTACCTTCTCCATCACATTAAGGAACGTAAGCTATTCCTTCCCAGGTAAAGCTATTTTGGCTCTTCCCAGCTCTTTAGCTCTCCTATTTCAATTGTTCTCTGGAAGAGGTAGGGAGGATGGGTCAAAACCCAGCAAAGGGCTCTGAAGTCCTTCTCATAAAAAAACAAAAACAAAAAATCCCCATCCTACTGATATTGTTGGTAAGCCATTTGTTTTGGGATAAAGGACATGACAATCTTCTCTGGAACATGTATACATATATTGCAGCTATGTGATTACAAATGTCAATAAACTTTTGACAGTTCTTAGTCTGACAGTTTAGAGCCTATGCTGAAAACAGACTTAAGTAATCTTAACTGTCACTCATAGGTGAT